GAACCATTCTCAATCGGTTCCGTATTTTAGGAACCGGAACCAGAACTACTCATATCGGTTCAGGTTCCGGAACCGGCGGTTCCAAGGCGGTTCCGGTTCCGCAAACGGGTACCCGGTTCCGCTGCTCACCCCTAGTCTAAACGGACATAAAAGAATAGGCCTAAACGGACATAAACAAACAAACATCACTACTTGTCATTCAATTAACTATTACATACCAATTATCCATAGTTTAAACATACATAAAACAATTATCATTTGAAAAAAAAATCACCATCTTAATTTGACAAAAGTAAAAAAGTAAAAATTTTAAATAAAACAAAATAATAATAAAATTTAAACCTAAATAAATTTTAAAAAAATTAAAAGTTAAATAAATATTATTTAAATTCATACTAAATAAATAAAAGATTATATATTAAATTTAATATATAAATGAACATAAATGAACGAATGTTCACGAACATAAATGAACAAACAAGAATCTTGTTCATGTTCGTTCGTTTAACTAAACGAACAAAAAAATTTGTTCATATTCTTTCATTTATTAAATAAACGAACCTCCCGCCGAACGGTTCGTTGAACGTTCGGTTAGTTTACAGTACTAACCATGAGTCCAGATGTGTGTACAATATCTGATACTTTTGACTTGAGATGTTACAGATGACATCAAAACCGAGAACTGGACATGAATCCAGATACACGAACAAAACATAAAATATCTAATACAATTAGCCTGATATGTTAAAATACACTAAAGGTTATAAATCCATATAATTTCAAACTAGAAGGTACTCGCGCAATGCAGCGAGATCCATCTTGATTTTAATATTTCGTTTTATTTTTTATCTCAGTCGATGTTATAATATGGTCTTATGTGATTTTAAAAATACGACAATGTTTTTATTTTTGAATAAAATATAAATTTAAAGATATCATACAAATTTGACAAAAATATATCGATATTAGTATCAAATTAACTATTTAAATTTTCTAATTTTTTGTGTATTTTTTTAATTCAAAATTTTATTATAATTCAATTTAGGTTCAATAACGAAGTAATTTATATTTGATTTAATAAAAAGACTTTTTTTTTATAAATATAATAACTAATTATTTTGTTAGAATTCGATAATTATTCTAATTATATTTTAGATATTTTATATTTTAAAATGAGAAGTTTATACTCTATTTGATTATGTTTATTCTCAATTAGTATCATAAATTCAAACAACCACAAGGGTGGTGTCTGATTGGTTTGAGCTTGGCTCCAAAGGTCAAAAGTATCAGGAGGTCCCAGGTTCAAATCCAAGAAGAAATAAAAATCCCCTTATGCCCACGGAGGTTCAAATGCAGTGACTCCGGACTATTTGAAAAGCAGGTGGTTGCCCTGAGATTAGTCAACTCGCATAGCGGGTTGGATATCCAGGTTAATCAAAAATAAAAAAAATTCAAACTTGAAGCTTTAATAAGCTGTACTTATGCACAATCTACTTGAAATCTTGAATTTTAAATAATATGCATCAATAAACAATACTTCAAGCATAAAATATTATTTTTAAAAGTTTTTGTCAAATGTTTTATAATATAGTATAGATATTTAAAAAGATTAAGTCAAAATAAAAATGGCCTTAAAGCCCTATATGACATGGTTTGTTTTTAGGTATTGAAAGCAAGTGGGCCTAAACATTTGGTTCAGCTACCATGGCCCAGTAACAAAAAGTTACCCTTTTTTTGTCTTATTCATTTATCACCACTTTTTGAATTTCATTCTTATCATATTCTTTTTCCAATTATCAATTAACCTGGATGTCCAACCTGTTATGCGAACTGACTAATTCTAGGACGATTAACAATTTTGCAGGTAGCCCGAAGTCACCGTATTTAAACCTCCGTGGTTAGTGGTCACAAGAGGATTCTTATTCCTCTTTGGATTTGAACCTCAGACTTCCAGACACTTTTGATCTTTGAAATCCAAGCTCAAACAAATCAGAAAAAAGGCATACAGTTTTAATTAACAAAAGGACAATTTTACATTTAATTGTCGACAGAGAAATATTAATCATCTCATAGTTAAGGGTAGAATGACAAAGTAGACGTTTATTAAAAAAAAATGGACACTTAGGGGGTGTTTGGTTCAGTCATATGAATGAAAATAAGAATGAATTTTCATTCCCTCAGTTTAACCTGGAATCAAATTTTGGGCTTCCGTAGGATTGAGCCCATTATCTATACTATATTATAAATAATTTGACAAAAACTCTTAGAAACTATTTTTTTATGTGCATAAAATACTGTTTATTGATGCATATTACGTAAAATTCAAGATGACAAGTAAATTGTACGTAAGTACAACATATTAAAGCTTCATTTTTGAATTTGTGTAACTAACTATAGATAAACATAATCAAATACGGAATATACATCTCATTTTGAATATAAAAAATCTAAAATATAATTAGGATAACTATTAGTTATAACAAAATATTTAATTATTATCTTTATAAAAATTATATTATTAAGTGATAAATAAATTATTTCGTTATTAAATCTAAATTAAATTATACATAAAACATTGAATTAAAAAAATTACACAAAAAACCAAAACTTTAAATAGTAAATTTGATATTAATATCGATATATTTTTTTCTTCATATTTTTATAATATATTTAAATTTATATTTTATTCAAAAATAAAAACATTATCGTTTTTCTCAAAACTAATAAAAATCTTATTATATCGACATAGATAAATAATAAAACGATACGTTAACAATTGAGATATATGTCGCTATATTATACGAGCACCATTATACTATTATATAAAACCAAACAGTTTCTTTTATTTTTATTCTCATTGATTACTGCCTAATACCTCTAATCAAACACCCTCTTATATTAGGACAAACTAAAATAGTAACGTAAGAATGAATACAATATTGAGTTTATTTAAAAAAAAACGTTAATGAACGGTGAATTTATTTCGAAGCTAAAAAGACATCCTACAAAAAGTTAAAAGACTAGGATCTTAAGACCCGTTATTATCAGTTACACAAGTTATGAATTTCTGGAAAAAAACCGAAGACCGATTAAAGATCTGGATGAGTTACGTCTACGAAACGCTTGAAGGCTTGGTCGACCTTCCTTTTAGCCAACTTCTGTTATATGGTTTATTTAGATAGAAAAATCTCCGTTACTCCTTTCTCTGTTTCTTTCATATCCCTTCAATAATATCCCATTTCTGTCCACCGCCCTTCTCACGGAGCCGTACGCAGACGTTAACCGCTCGTACAGCTGCCAGCCAGCCAACTGTCACGTCATATTTTTTCATCTCTTGTACTGTCATTTAATTTATATATGTGCCCTTTTACATTGTTTTTGCCTACTGTTACGTATTGACCCGTACATTTATACATGTAGAAATTTGATTGGAGGAACATGAAAGATATAACAGGGTTTTTTTTTCTGGATAGCCAACGTAATTTCAGAAAAAGGGTTACTAAAAAATGTTCCCATACAAAAGTTATATATATATATATATACATATATATATATATATATACATACATATATATATATATATATAGGGGAGCGATCAAATGCAAACCACTCAATTTGTACAAACCGTGCAAACCGCATTCAACCAATCATAATTTTTCATTTTGTTCATTTTTTTGTAATTATGAGAGGTTGATTAATCATTTTTATTGCGGAGGGTGTTAATCATAGATATTATCATCTTCATTATTTTAACTTTAGAGAAATACATGAAACAGTTTCATTAAGTATTATATGAAACAATTTTACAACCATATATGAAACAACTTCATCAAAAAAAAGTATTATATGAAACAATTTCACAAGATTAAACAATTTCATGAAAAAATTTTATAAGATTAAACAATGAAATCGACAGATGAAGGTGGTTTGCACGGTTTACACAAATGAGAGCGGTTTTCATATGATCACTCCTCTATATATATATATATAGGGTTAATTGCTAATGGAACCAAATTAGATTGGTCTCATTAAGTGTCATTTTTAGGGTTGACTATTTTGTATCAAAACAAATCAATCTGTGTCAACTGTACCAATTAAATTGGTACATCTCAATCGGTACCAATTGCAATTGTTTGGTACCATACCAAATAAGAAAACTTGGTTGGTACACGGTATTGGAAGTCTCATACCACGGTAGTACCATGATACCGACTTGTTTAATTATTTATTGAGAAAAGTTCAAAAAAACCCAACAAACTTTTTTTTTGAGTGCTTTACTTTGGCTAAGTGTTTACATCTGAATAGTGGGATTCAAACTTGAGTCGTAAATCTGAAGCAATGGTTCTAGAGATCTGAACTTTGAGTTCAGACTTGAGTATTTCAGACGTGGAAAATTGGCTAAAAACCTAACTCTGGACTTTGAGTCCAGACTTGTGGCTAAGTCTGATCGGTTTTTTGTTCCGGACTAAGTCTTAAATCTAGACCTTGAGTCCAGACTTAGGTTCAGACATGGTTTTCCAGACTTTGAGTTACCCTTTTTGATTCGGTTATAACTACTCTTCGATTTTATCCATTAACAGTTATTACATTTTTTTTATTAACCTAGATATCCAACCTGTTATGCGAGCCGACTAATCCTAGGGCGACCACCTGCTTTGCAGATAGCCCGGAGTCACCGCATTTGAATCTCCGTAGCCACAAGGGGATTAAGGGTAAAAGTGTCATTTTGTTAATTAAAGAGTAATAATTACACGTTACTAAAACTGTATCAATGTCATTGTGTACATTTATTTTGGGACAGAGGAAACAATATTTTGTTATCATGTCCATATCATGAAGTTAAGTTTGAGATGTCCCAAGCATAACAGATAGTTGGTTCCAGACTGATATACATGTACAATCAAACGAGGGTTTGAGTTTAACAATCATCGTATGAGAGTAACAGCTTTTTTGGGGATGTGGCTAATTGTGGGCACCGAGCTCTTAAGCAGGGATAGACCCAAATTTTTTTTCCAAACGGTGACACCATTTGATTATAAGAAAATACTGTAAGGAAAAAATTTCAAACGGTGGCACCGTTTGACTATAAGAAACAAATATACGGAGATTTTTTTTCAAATGGTGGCACCATTTGACTAAGAAAATGACACTAACAAAATTCGAACTTGAGTCTGGGGTGGAAGAAAAGCCTTGCAAACTAACTCTACTAAATAAAACTTGTTCTCATTGTAATTTCAAATCCATACGGTGATACACAACATATTAATACAGTTGCACCTTTCACGAACCTAATTTTTTTTACCCTTTGACGGAGGAATAATACGGTGCCATGTGCCACCGTATGCACCACTATAGGTTTGTCCCTGCTCTTAAGTCACAAACGAACAAGTAAAGATGACTAAATTGGGTTCAAGTGGATCCAAGACAAATTGGAACCGGTTATGGCTCAACAGTTAAAATTTTGCGGAATTTCAAGGCTCCCCCAGAATTGGTTATGGGATCGGAACCAGATATGTGTGGGGCCGATTTTTCAAATTTTAAACGTTTTTATTAATTATAATGTAGGTTTTTCGAAAAAATAGTCCAAGTAAAAGCATTATTCAAAGTGTATTTTCAAAGCTAAATTCCAAAAAATTGTAATTAAAAAAAAACAATAATAACATTGTCGTGTAACAAGATTTTTAAAACCGTATTCTTTTTGAAAACCGAGCCGTGTCGGGACTGGATTTTGGACGGGGACCGGTCATCGGATCTTACGATTTTTTTTCAGGGCCCACTGACCTGATTCTAAAAAGGATCGATTTAGAAGTGGTCCTGCCCAATTCAGGGACGAATGTTTGGCCATCACTACCAAACGGGCCATCATAGCGTGGGCCAACATGGATCCACTTTTTTTGGTTTGGTTCGGATACCTAGGTATCCGTCTCGTGCGATTCGGTGCACACATTTGCTACTAAGTGAACCATACCAAACCGTTAACACCTCTAAGAATTATTGTGTTTTTATATAATCATTCGACACTTGAAAGTTCAGAAACGAACATTTATAGATTAACTCGATGTTCGATTTTGTTTATAAAATTGTACAACGCTTTTTGCCTCATGAATCATAAACTTGAGGGTCGTTTACCAAACGCTTACCGGGTAAGTGCTTACAGGCAAGAGTCACCACTCTTATTTACCTTATGGGGTAACATTGCTGGCCATCAAACTGGATTGATGGTCAGCGTTTATAACCCCAATGGGTGCTTGCCGGGTGAAACTCTCGAACCTTGTCTTCCCTCTTACCGGATAAGATTCTCAGTCATTGTTGTGTTTAGTAATCGCTTATCAATATAAGTATTTACTAAACGACCCCTTAATCACTGGATACTATGAACGGTTCGGTTTAAGCAACGGTCCATTCATGCCTTAAGGCGTACTTCTATCTTTATAACCCGAAAACCATTGGTTCCAAGCGAAGGTGATGTCCCCATAAGGGGACAAGTCTGGCGTAGCTGATATGTCTACGCCAACGACACATAAACATGAAACGTACCAAAACAGTACCAAGAAACATAAAAATCAAACAAAACACGATATCCATTCGAAACAACATAATTAACCTCTAAACCCAAATCCAAAACGCCTTAAAAACATTCGGCAAATTTAGCCAATTTAACGCTACCTACTCCGACCGAACCTAACAAACAAACAAAAAACGAAAACAACCATCATCTCAAACACTCGATCTCGGCTCAGGCGACACCATGATAACCGGCCGACTCCAGCAACACGGCTTTAACCTGATCAGGATGAACATCTTGCCCTTCTTTGCATTGCTGTAAACCACAAACACACGATAAAAAACCGCAAAATTTGGATAAAAAGGATGTCGTGAAAATACGTGGAACGCCATTAAATTACCCCTCGAAAGAAGGGAGATTCTGACAGATATCGAACATAATAGGTCAAGGTCTAGCTGACGTGAGACTTTAAGGGCAAGTTTGTTAGCAACTTAATGAGCTTAATGGAACTCATAGTTCACTCGGTCAGCTATATATGACTGTTTGATAGTGGCTTAATAATATATAAAGTGATTGATTCAGTAGCTTTATAGGGGGGACGGGGGAGAGCTTTATGCAGAAAACCAAGTTTTTTCCAAACCTGTCACTCCCAATTAAAAAACACGTCCTTTTGTTTATGAAAAAACCCTCTTAAACAAAAACTTTCCAATCTAATCATACATGACTTAATGGAAAACCAATCAAACAGCCCCTAACACGCACCCTCCAACACTGACTAGACGGGCAGAAATTGCCCTAAATCGACAGACTTTGCTCTGATACCATGTAAGAATATGTGTAACCTTATTATGTTACACTCCTACTCTCCAAAAGAGCTTTTTGGGGGAATCCAACATATATCGAGGTGAACAAATTCAAGTCTAGTTGATATCAGACTCTAAATACAGATAAAAAAAACCCGCGATGGATCGTAAGAAATGTACCTCGGCTCGAAAAACATCGAGAGCGAAGCCATTGAAGCAGCTTATAACAGCTTGCTGAATATCTAAACCAAGGTTATCAAGAGCTCTCATGGTGGAAAGCAGCAAACCAGGCCTTCTACTGCAAAACATATGTATGTTAACCGCTCTTCCTTCCCTCTGCCGCACTTCCACCTACAACCACCGTAAAAAACCACCGTCAAAAACCCATATTTGGGAAATTTACAGAAATAGCCAATTTCCCGAGCTCTGATCACTTTATAGCCATTTTCAGACCTCATTTCAGTTTTTAAACGATCTTAAGCAGAAATTCACTTTTTTTGGAAGGGTATCCCATGTTACGGCAAATTGTGACCGCAAGACATCAGCCCTGATAAATTCAGTAGCCACTGTTGTTCTGGACGCCTGGAAGTGAACCAGGGCAGATGGGATAATCCACCACATCCCATTGGCCGAAACCACTATGCCAACAAGGATTCGAATTTTTTTTACCGAAAACCAATCCTTACGAATATGCGTAAGCTCTTCTAAGTAAGGGGCTGTTTGACAATTGTTGAATGGTTTGGTGGAGAATGATTAAGAGGCTCTCATGATATAGTGCAAAATAAAATATAATTGTTTGGTAATTGTGAACAATAAAATTAGGGCTCCTATTGATTAAAAGGAGATCCAGGATACAAAATCATTCAGAGGGTTTTAGAACCATTAAGAGGCAGACTTTTTTTTTGCCAAACAAGATTCATCTCTTAACAATTCAGAAATTGCCTCTTAATGGAACTATTAAAAGATAAACAAACAACCGCTTAGGGAAATGGCTAAATAAGTGAAACCCTTTTGGCAGATCGGCTATTTCCGTAAATTTCCCCACATTTGATCAAGAAATCCATCAAAATTCAAGAATTATGATTAGGGTTTGTGGAATTTTTACTCTTGCAGGTTGGCCAGTTGGACTAGGGATGGCACTAGGGCAAAGTTCTTCTTTGATTCTTGACGGGAGGCTCGTCGGAGTTGGCGTTAGAGGGTAGAATCCGGCGGCGGCCATGGTGGTGGCGGCGGCGGCGGCGGTGGGTGTCAATGATGACCCTGATGGGGTTGATTCAAGTTCATGGTTAAGATCATTGATCTTCTGTAGAAGCTCCTTTAGATACTCGATTGCATCTCCAAGAATTGAAGCTCTGTCCATCTGAAATTTTTTAAGGACATTAATGGCGGATCTTGAAGCACATTCATGGTGAATTATTGAATACCCATTGAAGAAATCTAGATTTATTTCAATAGGGTTCTTCAAAAATTTGGAAAATTTGAAAAATGAATTGATTAAAGATGGTAAATTTACAAAAATACCCCAAACCAACCGGGGATTTCACTTTTTAGCCATTTTCTGATCCAAATTCACTTGTTAGCCGATCATTATGTAAAAAGAGTTTCGGCAAAAAAGGGTTTCTACGCAGAAACCTTAACCCAGAAAACTTATGCATTTACGTAAGTATCCAAGATCCTTAAACATATGCATAAGTTTTCTAGCTTTCTGTATAAAAATGGCTAAAAAGTGAATTTGGATGAAAATTTGGTAAAAAGTGAATTTGATTAGAAAACGGTTAAAAATGGCTAAAAAGTTAATTTGGTTATTTCGGTAAATTTCCCAAAAAAATCGAATTTTTACCTTGCTGATTTTTGGGACGACGGATCTGAGCATGTAAAGCCGATCATTAAGCTTCTTTCTCCGGCGTCTTTCCGCCATTAAATTCTTCGCCGGAAGCCCTTTTTTCTTTCCCTTGCCGCCGCCGGCGGCGGTGACTGTACTGTTCCCGTTAGAACTATTCCCACCGCTAATTTTAATCCCATTTTCTTCAAAATTGCCGGTGGTGTTCACCGTGAAATCGTCGGAATCATAATTCAAACCGGAGCCATCCAAACTAAGATTATCAACATCATCCCAACTTCCACCACCGCTACTCTTTCTCTTCTTCTCATTCATTCCTTCACCCAAAACCCCCAAACTTCCTCCTCCGCCGCCGCCGGCGTCGCCGGAGTTAATGTCACTCAAGTTTCTTCTCAGAGAAGCTCTTTTTTGAAATAAAGTCGGTGGAGCTCCAGTTGAAGCGAAATTATCCAACGGTTTAAGCAACTTAGACCGGTTTAAAACCAAAGAAGTTCCGGTGGATCCGTCGTCGAAACCCGGAAACGCCGGAGACCCGAATCCATTTCCGGCCAATTGAAGCAAATGGGTGGCTGAAAATTGAGGATCTGAGCTCAAATTGGAAACCCCATTTTGGGTTTGCGAACCCATATCGCAAAACCCAGGAAGAATCCCAGTAAATCCAGTCCCACAACCAAGATCAAACGTTCCATCCAACGGATTATTCGAAATCGGGTTCAAAATGGAAGCAATGGTGGGTTTTGGAGGTAAGAAGTAATGAACATGGGTCGGGTCGAGATTCTGGAAAACAGAAGCGGAAGTTGGGGAACACGATGATGAAGAATCAACTGGTTGTAACAGGATATTGTTCTGAGAAAAGCTCAAGGTGCTTTCATGGCGGTTCTGGTGTTGCATGAACCAGTTATTGTTGTTATCTTCTTCAACTTCTAGAATCGATTTGAATGCAGAGATGGAGTTGATTTCATGGCTTTCTTCATTTCTGTTAACTTGATTGTTGTCTCGTTCATCATCATCATCATCATCATTCATCCACATAATACTGGTGTTGTTAAGCCTGGATAGCATCAGAGAGATGGTGGGTTTTAGAGAGAGAAAGTGGGGTTGTAGAGAGAGAAAGAAGGATGGAGAAGACGATGATGATGATGATGGTGTTGCAGAGTGAAAAGGGCAATGGCTTTATATTGGTTTAAGATTATGGGAAAAAGACGAGATGAAAAAAAGGGAAATGTCACTTTTGTGGTAGATGATTATAAACTGAGCTGGATACATGGTGTTTTCATAATCTACATGTGTAGAGTTTTAAACAATTAAATATTTGGATAACAGGTTGAAGTATTAACTGGTTATCATGTTGATGTGTTGAATGATGTGATATTCAACTCAATATTATTTGATGACATGAATATATTAATCTAAAGGGAAAATTACATGAAAAAAATATTGTACTTTAACTTGATTTCTATTTTGGGTAACTTACTTTCAAAAAATTTATTTTGGTACCTAAGATGTAAAGTTTTAAACATTTAAATACCCGAGTAACAGGTTGAAGCATTAGCCGGTTACCATGCTGATGTGACGAGTGATGTGGTATCTAACTCAATATTATTTGCTGACATGAATATGTTAATCTAAAGAGCAAATTACATGAAAAAGTATTGTACTTTAACTTGATTTTTATTTTGTGTAACGTACTTTCAAAACTTTCATTTTGGTATCTAAGATGTAAAATTTTAAACATTTAAGTACCCGTGTAACAGGTTGAAGCATTAACCGGTTACCATGCTGATGTGACGAGTGATTTGGTATCCAACTTGGTATTGTTTGCTATTCAACCCAATTTTATCAATTGCTCGCCATATCAGTATGGTAATCGGTTAATGCTTCAACCGGTTACCTGGTATTTGAATGTTTAAAACTTTACATCTTATGTACCAAAATGGAAGTTTTGAAATATGTTACCCAAAATAGAAATCAAGTTAAAATATAATGCTTTTTCATGTAATTTACTCTTTCTGAAATATTATTATATTTGCAAGTTGTATCGTCAAGACTTACACATAAGTTAAAAGAAATTAATTTTCACCTAAGTCGGTGAAAAGTGAAACTCTTTATTTTATTTTATTTTTTTTTTTTTTGTCTTTTTAACATTTCAGAAAATAAAGAAAGTGTCACTTACGAAGATAAGAGGTTGTTTGGTAGTTGTTGAATGGTTTGATGTAGAATGATTAAGAGGCTCTCATGATATAGTACAAAATGAAATATAATTGTTTGGTAATTGTTTACAATGAAATTATGGCTCTTAATTGTTAAGGAAGACCTATGATACAAAATCATTCAGAGGGTTTTAGAACCATTAAGAGACAAACTTTTTTTTTTCCAATCAAGATTCACCTCTTAACGATTCAGAGTTTGCCTGGTAATGGAACTATTAAGAGGTAAACAAACAATCCCTAAGTGATATTCTTGAAAATTTCAGATAAAAATGGTTAAAAGATGAATTTAATCCCCAAAAATTATTATTTCTATTAATTTTCTTTTTGTTTTTTTTTTTTTGTTTTTTTGTGTTTTTTTTATTTCTGTTTCTGTTTTTGTTTATAAGCTTTTTGTTTGGCTTTTAAGCCTCCAAGAATGGAAAATCACACTTTTTCCAAATTAATAAATTTTTTTCTATTATTTTTTATTGTAATAATGATTTAAAAAGCATCTTAATTATATTTATAAATTAATTATCTACGTGGTATTTTTGGTTTTTTTACGTTTTTAAAAATAAAAAACCTTATTTT